CCTATTTTTCATGAACTTTTAAAAAAGTGTATTTATTTCTTCAGTGACAGTGAGACAGAGACAGAGATAGTTACCTCCATCAGGGTCCCCACACTAGGATCTACTCCTAGTCTCAGCTGGTGCCTGGCGTACGCTTGGAGTGCCCAAGGAGATCCTGGGATGCGAACTCAGGACCATTCCTGTGTGGGTCTAGCTGCACTGCAGCTGGCCCACTGCCTGGCTCCCCGGGAATGTTTTGAGCTCCCCTTGTATATAAAGCACTCAGCAAAGTGATGACTGTTAGCCATCGTCATCAGCCTCAGATCACTCCCTGCCTTTGCTTACGCTTAGCCAGTTCCCACTCCTCACCCACTGAAGAGTAGCTCCTGGCCCAGCGGAGGCCTCATGGCAGTCTGCTCATACCTTTATTCTAGCACATGCTGTGGCTGCGGGTGTGTTTATCATCCTTCTGCAGACAGGGCTCTTCAAGGTCGGGACCTCATCGTATTTCAAGTCTGCACATTCATAGTTGCTTTCCCGGTAATTGGCAGTTGAGCACCAAAAGCGTCCGTCGAATGAACGGATCTCATCAGACCAATTCTACATTCTGGTTGGAAGGCCGGGAATCATTCTTTTTGATAATCAGAGCAAATGACTCTTACTCAGCGGATTTGGGAAGCATCCTTTTTTACCTGTCTCTTGTTGATCTGAAAAATGGCCTTCAGGTAGGACGCTCATGCCTGACGATGCAACAAACAATGAAAAGAGAAATAGTGTATGAGGGTACTTCAGAAAGTTTGTGGAAAAGGAAATTAAAGTATGAGTTTATTTTGGCGCAAAAAAATTTGAAATCAATGCGTAGTTTTATTTTTTTTATAGTAGGTACTGTTCATGAACTTTTTGAAGATGTCTCATCTAAAAAAGGCCTAGGAGGCTTTGAGGCTTTTTATTGTAAGTGAATAAAGAATGATAAAATGTGCTGGGGAGAAGAAATGAGTCACAATGAGGAAGCTTTTGTAAGATGCCAGTTTTATCTTGTTCAGTATAGATCAAGGAGAAATTTCCATAGCTGGAATTTAAGCGAGACATGAAAAATTTCCTCCTTCAGGGCTGCTGGTAGTATAAACAAATAGAAATAATGATTCTTTTTTGTGTGCATTAATTTCTGTAGAACACAGACGGCAACACATAGCTCAAGAATGAAGTCATGAACTAACTATAATAGTTCGTATTCATTTAGTTACTTTTACATAACATTTTCCTCTAAATTCTGTGATAAAATTTTTGTTAGTGGGTGACATCTTTAAAGAATTAGATAGCCCTAAGCAGGAACATAAACATTTTAAGAGAAAATTACTTGTGTGCGGGACCAGCAGTTAGCGTAATGGCTATGTTGCTGGACTCCCATGTAGTTGACCATGGTTCGAATCCTGGACCTGGTGGCTTAAACTCACGCCGGGCGCATGTGCGTGCGTGTCCAAGATCCTGAGAGGAGAATGGAGGAGGAGGGATTGTGGTGTGGCTATCCTCCTGGGGGGTGATTTCTCGCTTTCTGTCTCTCTGTCTCTCTCTGTCTCTCTCTGGCGAGCGCACACGCCCTATAGCGAAAACCTCTCCAAAAAAAGAAAAAAAAAAGATAATTACTTATGTGATAACCAAATGTTCCATAATGTCAGAGTTGACTATTTGGATGTTAAATAGTTTCAGAATATTTTTGAGGAAAAGCTGAGAATGTCGTTGCTGTAGAACTCTAAAAGAAGTCTAGTATCTCTTGCGTGGCCTGGGCCTCCTGTCTCTAGTTCTTCAGTTGACTTGTGTGAAGGTAGGAAGGAGTGACAAGCAGCTCCATATGTCCCATTCAGTTTCTTATTTGCCAATGGAGATGGGCCAGAGATGTCAGCAGAAAGTTTCCCTGGCGCGCGCGCTGTCTGAGAGGAGAACGGATGGGTACGTGTGTCAGAGGCAAAGTCTCTTCTTCTTTCTGTCACGGCCAAGGCGGTGCTAGAGGCCCTGCCTGCCTGGTCAGGAGGCCAGAGCAGCCAGCTGGCTTGGCAGCCGGTGGGCGGAGAAGGCCATTCCAGCCACCCAGTTGACTTCAGGTATGTAGACAGAGCTAGATTAACACGTCTCCATCTTCTGCCGGGGACTGCAGTAAATCTCCACCATACCACCCCTCTCCGGGGACTATTAAAAAATGCTTGTCGATTTTCTCCACTTATTCCCCTTTCTTTTTTATCCCTTCTCTGTTTGAGAAGATTAGCACTGCTGATCACGGTAGAAACATGCCCTGCAGTGTGCTAAAAAGAATTTGCTCTGAATTTCAGACTCTGGTGACATGAAAGCTGCGCTCTAGAAGTCCAGGGTGCAATTTCTTTCAAGAGGAGTCTTTAGTTTCCAGTCCAAATAGGGGATAAATTATAGATCAATTTAAGAACTTCTCTGTGTTAAAATAGTCTAGTAAAACTCAGGTTCTATTTCTTTTCCTGCTCTTTAATTAGATTTTTCTATTTCATTTATTTTTCCTCCACTGAATTTATTTTTAAACTTCCTTTCCCCTATTCTTTTGAATCAACTGAATGGTACGTATTTTATTTCTTTCTACTGAAGGCTTTGTTCTTTTAATTTTTCTACTTTTTATTCTGTTTTCTAATGACTTTTCTCACTCTACTGTGTTCCAAAAAGTGTTCAAAGTCACCTAAAATGCCACCAATAGTATAGCATTTTAAGAACGTTCAGTAGATATAACGATGTGCTATAATACACTAGATCTGAACATTCCTAGTATGGTGTTGAAACCAAGGTGAAAGTAAAAAAAAAAAAAGAATTTGACACATAGGAGTGATTAGCTTAATACTTACTGTGTATATTCCATTAACTTATAAATGATGCATGGCCCTTAGAACTATAGTCAGTATTATGTTTATACAATCAAATCCAACGTTTTTGTCAGTTCTTCAGTGCCTGTTTAACTAGACTGGTATGTCTTTCCTTCCAACTTAATGTAGTGTTTAATACAATCTCCCCACCTCTCTCTCTCTCTCTTTCTGTCTCTCTCATACACCCACACACACACACACCCCCTACTTGCTCAAGGAAAGACAAAAGTACCTGATAATATTCTCAGCTAACTGGAGTTCCATTTTCCTATCCCGCTCTGTATGCTCTCATTGCTTTATTTTTTTTACTATATACCAGACGTATTTCTATGTTTTACGCCCAGGATTATCTATGCCCACCTTCTTATCCCTTGGCATCATCCCAAGTACAAAGACTGTTGGACACAAGAATCTGGATGATCATTCTACATCAGGGTGGACCGTCACTTCTCTTCCATGCTCACAGGACCCCTAAGTGGGTTATTTCTGAGTTTATTCTAACCTTTGTTGATTTGTGTTTAAAAGTCTTTCTTAGTAGAGAATAATTCTTTTTTTTTGGAGAGATTTTCACTGTAGGGCGCATGCGCTCGCCAGACAGACAGAGAGAGACATAGAGACAGAAAGCGAGAAATCACCCCCCAGGGGGGATGGTCACGCCGCAATCCCTTCTCCTCCATGCTCCTCTCGGGATCTTGGGCACGCACGCACACGCGCCCGGCGTGAGTTTTAAGCCACCGGGTCCGGGACATGAACCGTGGTCGACTACGTGGGAGTCCAGCGACATAGCCATTACGCTAACTGCTGGTTCCCAATAATTCTTTTTTTTTAAATCAGGTTTAAGGTGGGCCAGCAGGTGGCATGGAAGTTAAAGAACCTATTTCCCACATGGCTGACTTCACAGCTTGAGTCCCAGACCCAGCAGTTTGAAAAAATCACACCAGGTGTGTGTAGGTATGCCCAAAACCTCGAAAGGAGGATGGAGAAGAAGGGATTGCAACATGTCACAAGGGATGATTTCTTACTTTCTCTGTCTCTCTCTGGTGAGCATGCATGCCTTATAGCAAACTTAAAAAAATTAAAACAACAACAAAATCCACCATGCTAAATCTCTGTGTGTCCCCAGGATCCTGATGGGATGGAGAACTGAAAGAAAGAGGATCATGGCTTGTAAGGCTCCCTGAGGGGGTGCAATCTCTCTTTCTCTCTCTCTCTTCTGAGCATGCATTTGACCTCTGGCATTAAAAAGAAAAAAAGAAAAAGAAAAGAAACCCCCAAAATAAATAAGACCCATGGGTTGAAATTCTTCTCTGTCCCGCCAGGGGCTGTCCCAGAACTGTGGAGGCAGAAGTAAAGATGGCCCCAACAGAAATGGATCTCACAGCCCCAGAATGTTTTAAATGCCTGCTTCCAATGCTCCAGAGAACAAAGAAGGCAAAATATGTATTAACGGGATGTGCGTGGGTTGGAGTAAGCACAGATCTCCCTATTGTGATTGCAGTTGGTGGATTTAATACCAGGTGGCATTTCCTGACCAACTGCTGTGAAATTGTATCAGCAGTAGCATTCATAATGCCTGGAACTTAGACCTCAAAATAACTGAGGGCGGAGGGTGGAGGGTGGAGGTTTAGTGATTTTTAAACTTGCATTTCCCGGGACCAGCAGTTAGTGTAATGGCTATGCTGCTGGACTCCCATGTAGTCGACCGCGGTTCGAGTCCTGGACCCAGTGGCTTAAACCTAAAGACGGGCGCGTGTGCGTGCGTGCCTAAGATCCCGAGAGGAGAATGGAGGAGAAGGGATTGCAGTGTGGCCATCCCCCCTCGGGGGTGATTTCTCGCTTTCTGTCTCTCTGTCTGTCTCTGTCTATCTGACGAGCGCGTGGGCCCTATAGCAAAAAAACAAAACAAAACAAAAACAAAAACAAAAAACAAAAACACCCCCAAAAAACAAACCTCTCCAAAAAAAAAAAGAAAAAGAATAAAGTTGCATTTCCCACCTCATTCCTTTGCACCTCAGCCATCAGGACAGGAGAGCTCTCCCTGGTAGTGGCTCAGCCAGGGTGGCCGATGCCAGCTTCCGAGGTGCTAATAGTCCTTGAACCGGGGACAAACGCATTCTCATCGGTGTAAATTATCGCCAGCACGCCTCTCTCTGCCCCGGCACCTGTTTCAGATCTGTCACACAGGCCATCATATTTTTCCTTTTAAAGAGGCAAGTTATTTATTGATGGTGTAACCGGAGAGATCCGTGGCAAGGGCCTCCGCGAGAACCCACTGCAATTCGGGACACCCACTCCTCGGAACAGAGCAGCGTGTGGCAGCCTTGCTAAGTGCCTGGGCTCGATCAGGGCAGGGCAGCAGCATCTAAGCCACGAGACTCCCACAGCTGCTCGCAGAGAATGGACTTCACACTTAGAAGAAAAGACGTCTGGATTGTAGGTAGCATGTGCCTTCTCTCGTCTTCAGTGCTCTGGCGCCTGTTCCGGTTCGTTACCACTCGGGGAGGCCATGGGCAGGCTCCCGCGCTGGAGGATGTACAGGTAGTACAATGTCACTTTTAACTAAGGCAGATTAATTTTGCAGTTCTGGTCATACGCTTCCAACCCCCGAGTGAGGAAATGCAATGCATGCCCCAGCTGAACCCTTGCCCAGGCCTGGGTCTCAGGGAGGGCTGGATTAATAACAGTGGCACTTTTCAACATTTCAGACACTTTCCTAGAACCTCAAGGCAGTCTTTCCTGATGCAGAAAAAGTTGGTGATCTGTTTTTGGTTGCAAGAGCTAAAAATAATGTCGACGTCTCTTCATTCTCCTACTTCTTATATGACTTAATTGTGAGGAGGAAAGAAGACGTTATGAGATCTGCAAACACAGCGTGTGAAGGGCGATCGGCCCTTCTGAGCGTGGCCTTCACTGTGTCTGCTTTCAGCTTTTGCTTGTTTGCACTTTCCATGTGACACCGTAGCTATTCCAGGAATGGGATTTAGTCAGGAAAATGCACATAGGAGAATTCTGAAAGATGAGAAATTCTTCTAAAGACTTTAGAACTGAAAGAGAGGATTTTCCTATCAGAGAAAACAGCTCTTTCTACATATTTAATTCTTTTATCAATTAGCACATTGTGAATTATTTTCAAAACAATATAAGACAGTTTGGAAAATACTACAGAAGATAGTCCAAATCTCTGTTCCTATCTGAAGGTGGGCTATGCCAGTATTTCTCTGTTTTCATTATCACCTGCTTCCTCCCAGAGACTTTTTCGTTTCCTCCCCTGCCCAGTTGACTCCTCCCTTGGGGCACTGTTGCCCCCAGTTAGAATGAATGGTTTATAGTTTGTAAAAATATTTCTGGGCTAGCCTGGTGGAACAGCTATAATGCAATGGACACTAGACCCACATGGGAAGGTCCCAGGTTCACATCCTGAGGTCTTCCTGTGCATGCCTGGCACATCTGTGTGCGGATGATCTGGGATGGTTGAGACTGCAGGTGATTGTGGTGTGTGGACATTGTTGGGAATGTCACCCCCTCTCCTCTCTGTATTCATCTCTCTCTTGGAAAAAATACTATGTTTTTTGTTTTGTTTTTAAGAATTCTCTAGAGGGCTTGGACAATATATAACTATACCTGTGTATAAATGTTTTATTTTTATTCAACTGGAGACCACCAACTCTGCTTCTTGGTGGTATTTAAAGGACAGAGAGCCTTTTGATGGGTCTCTGCTGCAGAGAGTACTTTTGTGATTATTACTCTGTGTACTTCATGATCAGAAGAATCGCCACATCTTGCAATGATTTATCAATCACCTGATAGGATGGAGATGGGAGAGGGAACCAGCAGTTAGTGTAATGGCTATGTCGTTGGATTCCCACATAGTCGACTGTGGTTCGTGTCCCGGACCTGGTGGCTTAGAACTCACGCTGGGTGCGCATGTGTGTGTGCCCAAGATCCCGAGAGGAGAATGGAGGAGAAGGGATTGCGGCCATCCCACCTGGGGGGTGATTTCTCGCTTTCTGTCTCTCTGTCTCTCTCTGTCTGTCTGGTGAGTGCACACACCCTATAGCAAAAACCTCTCTCAAATTAAAAGATGGGAGAAAGACAGATAAGAACATAAGAAGAACACAATCTTTTTTTTTTTTTTTTAAGTAAGACATCATGAAATTTTCTTCTGGTCTGATCCAATGTCATGGTGAAATCTACATTTTCAGACTTGATCACTGTTGCCCAAGTGTTAATCATTTTTGACTGTTTAACATATCTCCTCGAGGTCAGCAGGTAGTGTAGTGGTTATGGTGCTGGACTACCTCATGGTCAACCATAGTTTGAGTCCCGGATCTAGCACCTTGAAAATCATGCTGGGCATGTGTATGTGCATGCCCAAAATTCCAGGAGGAGGAGAAGGAATTGTGGTGTGGCCATCTTCCCTAGGGGGGTGATTTCTCACTTTCCCTCTCATTGTCTTTCTCTGTCCTATGGCAAAACCTTAAAAAAAAATAAAAACAAAACAAAATTCCTATGGGAAATATTAGGAGGGCTACATTTCTTATATAGGAAATATGTGGAGGGAGGGGTCTTCAAAAAGTTCATAGAAAATAGGTATTATGTAAAGAACATGCCTGGATTTCAAAATTTTTGCACAAAAATAAACCCACATTTTAATTCCATTTTTTTCTATAAGTTTTTTAAGTCCCCTCATGCTACGAGGGCCTCTATCTCCCATGTAGAAAAGAGTATGCAACTCACTCATGCAATGAGAATGTAGCCTTCATAGTCTTTTCCAATGAAAAGGTCAGTGTGATACACGTGTTCATTAGGAGTATTACGGATGTATATTTTTATGTTTTTGCAACTTTTTAAGTACAAAGAAAAATCTCTCGGGAACCAGCAGTTAGCGTAATGGCTATGTCGCTGGACTCCCACGTAGTTGACCGCAGTTCGCGTCCCAGACCCGGTGGCTTAAACTCACGCCGGGCGTGTGTGCGTGCGTGCCCAAGATCCCAAGAGGAGAATGGAGGAGAAGGGATTGCGGCGTGACCATTTTCACATTCAGCATTTATTCCTATTAGTATTTTACATGTATCAAGTTATTTAAAAATTTTATCAACAAAAGATAAATCATGGTTTTGATGTGCTAATTACAGATTTTCTAATGCACAATAACATACCCACAGATCAATTTTTAAAGTGATTTGTTAGTGTATGACTTTTTTTTTTTTTTGAAAGGTTCTTGCTATAGGGCGTGTGCGCTCGCCAGAAAGACAGAGAGAGACAGAGAGGTTGAAAGCGAGAAATCACCCCCCAGGGAGGATGGCCACGCTGCCATCCCTTCTCCTCCATTCTCCTCTCAGGATCGTAGGCACGCACGCACACGCACCCGGCGTGAGTTTAAGTCACCGGGTCCAGGACTCGAACCGCAGTCGGCTACATGGGAGTCCAGCGACATAGCCGTTACGCCAACTGCTGGTCCCGTTAGTGTATGACCTTTTGAAATCCTTGCAGTGGGGTGGTCCCAAATCAGCCTCTGGATACTTGGACTCCAGCAGCTATTTCTAGGTTGTCACCCTCTGATATTTGGCCCTTTGCCTCTATTTTTCATTTTCTGCCTGTCATTGGGTAACAATAGCAAAGACCAGGGGACCAGTGATAAGCAGGCAGAGGTGCAGTGTTTAGAGAGCAGACAACAGAGCAAACTGATAACAGGCAGTTTATGACAGAAAATCGCTAACAGGTCCAGTTTCCTTAGGTTTCCTAGGGAGTGCCAGCGCTGCGTGTCCATACTGTCACTCCAGAGTTTTTTCCAGCTGGGACCAGGGCACGAGTGTAGGTGATTTGTTTTAGGACTTGGCTCCAGGGAATAGGTATGGGGGCCTGAAGAGTATGAAGTAGGGAAGGAAGGAAGCGTCTAGAAGATCTCATTGCCAAGCTGATCCCTGCATGCAGGATGACCTCAGAGCTGCCTGTGAGGCGGTGCTGATCCCCCAGGTGCCATCCCCACTGGTTAAAGTCTGTCCCACAAGGCAAGCAACCCTCTGGCATTTTCAGTTGCACATGGTTGTTGCCCCTGAGAGTCCTGCAGCGTTGCCAGAGAACCCTGGACAGAAGGCCGAGTTGTGGAATCCCTGGTATGAAGTGCTCTTGGCCCATATCTGTGTGGAGCTGGTTGCTAAAGCAACAGCTAAAGCCAAGGTGAGCCTGACGGTGTACAGAGGACACAGAGTGGTGCACATACTCCGATGCATTCAAAGTCTGGCTGTCAGCCTGTCCAGAAGGAACTATTATCTCTCCAGATACAGGTGTGCTAATCAACCTGCCCATGATCCATATTCAGTAAGAGGTGGAGCTGGGCTTCGAACCCTACAGTGGGCCAGGAGCTTGCTCTCTAGACTGCCCCTGAGGATTGCCCCAACCTCTCTGGCTTCACAGTTAGATTTCCTGTTACAAATAGACTTCCGGGCAGGGGGTTGAGGGTAGGAGCTGCAGCTTCTAGTCCTGACTTTGACCTCAGAAGAGTTATGGGATCATCCTGTGGCCTAGTGTTTGGGGGGAGCCAGTTCCCACGTGGCTGACCTCCTGGTTAGAGTCCGAGCCCTGTGGTTTAAAAAACACACCAGGTGCTACGCATGTGAGCCCCAAGTCCCCTCAGGATGGAGAAAAGGAGGAGAAGAGATTGCATGTCCACATAGCATTGGGAGCTGTTTTCTCCCTCTCCCTCTCTGTCTCTGTGTCTCTGTCTCTTTATGGCGAGTGCACATGCCCTTTGACTTATAAAGAGAACAAAACAAAAATTCTTCGCATAACTGCATGTGTTTCTGCAGCCTCACTTAGCTCAGAGTTGCTCGAAGGGCTGAATACAGTATTATACTTGTGAGAAAGCACTTTGTAAAAGGTAAAATGCTGTGTGTTGTTATCAGTACACTGTTCTCTTCTGTGCTTAAGTAGTTTTACTTTTGGAGACATTGCCTGTGTGGTGCCTCTTTGCATATTATATTAATTTTACTGCTGCTTTCCACCCCACTCACAATTTTTAACAGGGAACAGTGTCTGATTAATGGGGTTGGAGAATGTGAGCTCATTTGGCTACCAGCATAAATCTGTAGTGCGGTCATGGTTAATGGCTTTATCCACCTGGGGGTTCTGACATGTACAAATTATTGTAGTGTTTTTTCAAGAAATGAGAGCTAAAGGCCTGTGCTTCATGTCGTTTGTGACTCAGAGATGAGGGACCTAAAGCGCAGGTCTTGAGAGATCTTAGAGGTCAGATCATCTCAATCCTTATTTGAGCAGGGAACTCAAAGTTCAAGGCAGGTTAAATAGATTTGCTCAAGATTCATTACATTGAGGGACTCTCTTTTCGGAGAATCCTTAAATTTTTTTTTTTATTGATTTTTTTTTTGAGAGGTTTTTTCTATAGGGCACGTGCGCTCACCACACAGACAGAGAGAGACAGAGAGACAGAAAGTGAGAAATCAACCCCTAGGGGGGATGGCCACACCACAATCCCTTCTCCTCCATTCTCCTCTCAGGATCTTGGACATGCACGCACA